TTGCTGCCATTCTGAGCAGTCTGATGAAATCTCACACCATCCTGCTCCACCTGCCCTGGATGTGAATCCTCCATTTGTTTGACATCTCCAAGCTGTAGATGCTCCCTGCCCCTCAGTCACTTAGGAGACATCTGGACCATCAGCTCTACTGTTGTGGTATCATGGTGCGTGTGTTCAAATCACCCTTATTTGACTCAATAATGGTCCCAAAGCATAAGAAAACTGATGTTGGCAATTCGGACATGCCAAAGAGAAGATAAAGTGCTTCCTTTGAGTGAAAAGGTAAAAGGTCTTGACTTGATAAGAAAAGAAAAAAATTGTATGCTGAGATTGCTAAGATCTATGGTAAGAACAAATCTGGCTGTGAAATTGTGAAAAAAGAAAAAGAAATTTGTGCTGGTTTTGTTGTCACACCTCAAACTAGAAAAGTTATGGTCACAGTACATGATAAGTGCTTAATTGAGATGAAAAATGCATTACATTTGTGGCTGGAAGACTCAAACAGAAACATGGTCCAATTGACGGCAATGGATCTTAAACATTTAACTATTTATGTTGTTACAGTCATTGGGATCTGTGAAAGAGATAATAAGTGATTCAAAAATTATTTTAGATTTTTAAAAAATGACCTCTTACACCTTTGTCAGCAACGTTGATTCACAGACTAAAATTTTAATTTTCTGATTTTTACTATAGTTACAATTCATAGTGGCAACACGACATGTCATGCTGATTTATTTATTATTTTATTATTATTATTATTATTGCAAGCTTGTTATGTTCTAGATCTGTTGTAGAAGTTGAGGAAATAGAGGAAAATATATCACAGCCCTTGTCCTTAGCCAGATGATTAAAAAAAAGACTATATGTGGCTCAGCAAAATAAAAGTGAAAGATTGGTTAACAATTGCCATTTGGGGAAAATACTATCTAATACGGTGTTTTTGAAGGAACAACTATTAGAAGGAAGGGAAATTTTCAAAAACTACTGTCTAATCTATTTAAAGACAGATTGCTCATATTTTGAAATTTTTCAATATAATGCAAGAAAAAGAATGTTATTGTGATTCTATCATTGTCAAAAAGTTATGACAAATCTTATAGCTTTAATTGCCTCTTTAATCAACATTTAAAAGGATTGCTCAATTTTCCCCTTTGAGAGGTATTATTACTTTTCTATGTTGGAAGGCAAATCACTAATATTAAAGTTTCTTTTGTATTAAAATTTCTGTGTCATGTGTATTAAATGTTAAAATTGTGAGATAACTATATCAGAGATCCCTGTCCTATTTTTAATATCAAAACTAACCTTCTTGGAGCATATACACCAGTCCCCCCCTTATCCACGGAAAATATGTCCGAAGACCCCCAGTGGATACCTGAAACTGTGGACAGCACCAAACTCCATTCAAAATAATTTGAAGAACATAAAGCCATTCCTATGACTGTTTGGGAATCCATCATAAAACCTCAAGGTATTTGATGATATGGGACAGCATATATGGAGAAGATAACTTTAATAGCATCCCTAGGACCTAAGAGAGAGGAAGAGAGAAAGAAATAATAGTTAAACAAGGGACTAAAATTACAACAGAGGGCGATAGAAATGACTAGTGCCTGAAACAGTAAAAATTAAGTTACAAATATAAAAGTTATGATTCATTCATGTGTTCAATATTTACTGACCTAGTATCTGGTTATATAACAAACATTGAGAACAAAAATCTTCAACTGTGTGAAGATTATGTTCTAATAGGTACAGAAAGAGTATAAACCAAATAAGCAGGTAAATTATATGGTTTACTATACAGACATATATGCTATAGGGAAAATTCAAATAGGGAAGAGGATGTTGAGACTGGAGGAAGTTGGAAATTTAAATAGGGTGGTCAGCAAAGATCTTACCAAGAGAGTGAAATTTGAGCAAAAACTTGAAGGAAAAGAACAAAACATATGACTTCCTGGAAGAAGAGCATCACAGTCATAGGAAACAATACTACTAATAGAAAATATTTATGGAGTGCTGGAGTGCTATGCTCCAAGAGATAGATAGATGATAGGTAGGTAGATAGTAGAGAGATAGATGACTGATAGATAAACAGATGGATAGATAACTAAATAGATTTCCTTAATTCTTACAACAACCTTATAATGTAGGGATTCTTCTCACCAGTTTTCAGGTGGAGAAACTAAAGCCAGAAAGGTTAGATAACTCAGCCAGTAAGATCCCACAGCCAATAAGATGTGGAGTGTGGATTCAAATCCCGGAGTTTGACTCCAGATCCTATGCTCTCAACCCCTACACTATTCTGTCTTTCAAAGCCTTTTAGGTGAGAGCATGCCTGAAATGTTCTAAGCCAAAAAAGGAAACCAATGTGTTGGGAACAGAGTGAATAAAGTGTGAGCAGTTGGAGAGAGAGTTCAGAGCAATAATTGAGGCCACATTGTGCAGGAATTGTAGGTTATGGTGATGATTTGACTTTTGCTCTGAGTGAATAGGGGAGCTTTTCAGAAGAGGAATGATTTGATCTAATATGTGTCTCAATCACGCCTAGATACTAAATTTTTTAAAATAAAATTTCTAAGTGTTTTTTTTTTTTGCTTTAAGATATTAAAAGTCAAAAAAGTATTACAAAGCTAGGTTGAGCAGCCCTTTTTTGTTTTTCTTTTTTAAATTTTTTGTATAAAAACAGGGTCTCACTATGTTGCCCAGGCTGGTCTCTAATTCCTGGCCTCAAGTGATCCTCTGGCCTCGACCTCCCAAAATGCTGGGATTACGGGGGTGAGCCACTATGCCCAGCCAAGCAGCCCTTTTTAAGCCATGAGCAGAACAGTCAGTTGAAAGTATTTTGTGATTGGGAATGAAACAGAATATAAGTGAGTTAGTCCAGAGATCAGTGTATTTTCATGAAGTCAAAAGGGCAAAAGAAGCAAGAAAAAAAAAAGAAAAAGAAAAGATGAGTTTTGTCTAGGGAAATGGATTTAAAGGCATAGACAGTAGAGTTTAATAGTTGTGGCATAAGGAAGACAAGAAGTTAAATATAGAAACTATGAATGGATAGGTAGAGAGTCAAGTTGACAATAAAAGTAGGAAGGATATAGCCATCATCCAATAAATGGAGTGAAAATAACACCTAACGCCACGGTTTGTTAACTGCAATTGCTGGAGCTGTTGAAGGGCCTTTGACATCTAGGATAGAAAATGGAAAATAGTTCATTTAGGTACATCATCCATTTAGACACTTAAATATTTAAGAATGAAGACAAGGAAAATAGGACATGAGTAAAAAGTCAGTCAGAGGTACAGACAGCTACCACTTGGAGGTACATGGGGAAAGATAATGTATGATATTCATTAAAGAAATTACTATTGATGCTTTTTCCAGCTGAGAAAACTATCGAGAGTAAATTACTGGAAATATATTTTTCCTTATATGTATTTTTTCACAAGGTATTTCTGAAATATCAGATGGGATACCTGAGTAGATATTCTAACTCAAATTCAATTAATAAGCGTGATTTCAGGCACAGCATGGACCAGATAGCCTCCGGGTCTAGTTCTCTGCCTTCTCACTTTTGTAAATGATTTCTTTGTCTCAACCACAGGGTTATTCCAAGTAGAAATATCTCTCTTTGACATCTTGAATTCTTTATCTCCCCTTTCTGTAAAGTAAATAAAACAAAATCTAATGCTCTGATCTTCTTATCTGGAGAGGAACAAGTTTACAGGCTTCAATATAGTACACAGAATTTGTATCATTAAATTCTGTTTGCTCCACTGGTAATTCAAATAATTTCCGGGATAGCCACCGTGCACATTGCCTGAAGAGCACTGACAGTTCTTGCTCAGTCCCTCTAAGAAGGAAACGATCCTGTCTCGCCTCGAAAACTGGCCCTTCCCCCCAAAACCCATAAAACCATCTCCAAGTTATCTTGTCCTTCCAGGTTCCATTCACATAAAATTATGCTATGTCTAGGATACATGGAAATTCCACCTTTGACAAAGGCTCCTCTTTCTCAGAGAATGAGAGGTCAACAAATTATTTCCACAGTTCTGCAACTCCTAGAAGACAACCTAAGCAGGAAAACTGAAAATTTGCTCTCACGCGTACACCATGAAGTGGATGAATGCTTTTTCTTTATCTAGACTGCTACTTTCTCTTATTTTATTAGCTGCAGGAGTCTTGGGGATCCCATGTATTCTTCAATCAGACTCGTATAACATGGTAACTTTAAACAATATGCAAAGTCCAGAGCCAATGCCTGAAACAGTGCAGAACTATTTCCCTGAGACCTGGATCTGGGAGTTGGTGGTGGTGAAGTAACTTCACTCTCCTTCATTTGCTGTGGAGGAGGGAATGTGGATGCTCCAGCATTTTCAGTTCTGAGATAATCTTTCTGGAAAGTTTCAAATAATTACTTAACCCCTTACTTATCTAGGATAGACCTAAGTAAAATGCTTTAATTGTATTGGTTCAATCATATAATTATCCCAGAGCTAAGCAATTCTGAAATAATTATTCCTGAGACTGCCAGAAAATAGATGTGAGAACTAAAAATATCCAAATCCTCCACCTACTGCCTAATGCTGTTCAGGGAGCCTTCCATAAACATCAAGACTGGAATAAGCACATAAACAAATCAGGCTACATCCATTCAATGATCCATTTATTGAATGATGACTCTTAAAAATGCTTCTTTATGGAATTATACAATAATGAGGGAAGTTTAAGGACCAAATTGAATCACAATTCAAATATTTTTCTTTAAAGTACAGACCTGTGGGATGTGGCCATAGGTTGATAAGGGGAAAGAGGTACCATTTAGTGCCTTTCATTTTCCCAACTCGGTTTGCAGTACCAGTGTACACATGTGTGCACACACCAAGGCACCCTTAAGTGGATTCTTGACATTAGCTTACGCACATTTATTCTCACTTAAGAAAAAATGTTTTGCCTACTTTCTTTCTGTTCTTCATATTGCCCTCCTCCCCAGCTCATCAGGTGTGGCTGAGGTAGGAGTATCCGTCCCTGACACCATCACGGAGTGGAAGGCAGGGGCCCTCTGCCTGTCCCAAGACACTGGACTTGGTCTCTCTCCCACTGCCTCTCTCCGAGCCTTCCAGCCTTTCTTTGTGGAGCTCACGATGCCCTACTCTGTGATCCGCGGAGAGGCCTTCACACTCAAGGCCACTGTCTTAAACTACCTTCCCAAATGCATCCAGGTAAGGAAAAGGAAGGTGAATTGGAAGGATGGATAGAACAAAAGACTCTTTCGGTCAGTCATCTACCGATTCTGTTCCCAAGACTAAGGATAATTCAGGGAATTATGTGTGAGCACTGCAAATAAACAATGCTAAACAAGGCAGTACATGATCAGAAAGATAACACAATGATGTATGTGCTGCAAGTGCTTAAACCATGGCTCTCTAAGTCACACTTTTTTAAAAAATTTCCTAAAGCTTACGGATTCCTTTGCCACAAGTTAGTTTTCATGCCAGGAAGATTCTTTTTTTTTTTTTATTTGTATAAATGTATGGGGTACAAGTATAATTTTGTTACATTAATATATTACATAGTGAAGTCAGGGCTTTTAGCGTATCCATCACCGGAATAATGTAGGTAACAGACATTTTACCCATTAAGTAATTTCTCATCACCACCCCCTCCCACCCCTCCAGGAACATTCTTGACACTGACACAAGACAGTTTTTTTTCATTCCATGAGTATCATTCTCCAAACCTTCATCTTGAAATCTTCACAATATATACTTTTGATTTTTCTTACAGCACTTCTCTCTTTGTAAATCATGTAAAAGTTTTGTGTATAGATATCTTTTTTGTAACACAATATCTTCAAGATTGGGAGCCTCTAATATACCATAGTGTTCTATGCCTTGTATAGAGCAGACATACACTATATGTTGGAGAAATTAGGGAAAGGAGGGAAGGAAGAGTCAGAAAAAAAATCCACATAGCAGTTCGGAACCAGTAGGTAGTGCTCCCACGGCAATATGTAATCACTGCTTCTTTCTTTCCTCTGCTGATGCTGTATCTGCAGATTTTTTCTAATCTACCCTAATGTAAATGCCAGGTTCCCCAATAGGTAATCAATCTTGATTTGTGTCATTGCCATTTTCATGCTTCTTAAAGCATAGATGAACTTACGTGTCATACACTTTTTCTACAAATCCCAACTTACTGCACACTTGACTCCAATTCCATGTGTTCACATCTTTCCGAATTCTTATCATTTCTCTTTGCCGTATTTTTGGGTAATAGGTCAGTGTGCAGCTGAAAGCCTCTCCAGCCTTCCTAGCTTCCCAAAATGACAAGGGAGAAGTATCCTATTGTATCTGTGGAAATGAGTGCCAAACTTTGTCTTGGACAGTAACTCCTAAAACTCTGGGTGAGTGACAGTCCCCAAAAGGATCCATCAGTCAACAAGGTCGGTAGATATCTGAGCACTCCTTTCATCATATCCTCTGTTTTGCTCCCAATATATATAATTCTATGAAGTTAATTTCTTTTATTTCTATTTCTATACACAATGACCACCTCTCACTATGCTCACCTGAGCTGGTCCTCACAATCATTATCCTTGGACATTGGTTCTCAGTGTACAATAGCCTTGTGCTTTTTAGCTTTATTTTCTGTCCTGGCCAATTGCAAGGTTAACATGCAATCCTTTAAGGTGATTGGACTGCTATCAAGATGGATACTCATTTTTTGCAATATCCTTTGTTTTAGGGAATGTGAACTTCTCAGTGAGTGCAGAGACAGTGCAGTCCCTAGAACTGTGCAGAAATGAGGTTACTGAAGTCCCTGAGATTGGGAGGAAAGACATTGTCATCAAAACCCTACTGGTGGAGGTAAGCTCATATGGCCCACTTAATATATTTTTCAGAGTTCTTGAGACAACAAAGAACAATAACATGTTCACACAATACATACTATAAGACCAATGGTATTTCCTATCCTAAAAGTATTGCAAGGAACATTGCCTGCTTTTGTAAATAGTTTTTTTCCATAAATTATTAGTTTTGCAAATAGTCTTTTTCATAAATTATTAGGTTATTAAGTATGGAATGTCCAATTTTCTTAAGTACTAATTTTTACAGTTGATATCTCTGACAATTTCACTTTGACACTTCTTGAGATTTGTTTTGTTTTGTTTTTTTGGTATTTGTGAAGGTACATTCTCATTCTTTTAAATGAACGTTTTGGCTTGTGGTAATCTTTCAATTTTTGTGAAACCATGGATAAGTCAAAAACTCATGTTATTTTTTAATACGAGTTCTGTCATGAAACCAATGCAGTACAGACAGCTCAAAATATCAACGAACTTTTGGGAAAGGATGTGGCTAATGAACGCACAGTATGCTGATGGTTTGAGAAGTTCCATTCTGGTGATTTTAATCTTCAAAATGAGCCACATGGGTGACCTGAAACCAAGGTGGATAATGATGAGCTAAAAGCTGTAATGGAAGTGAATCCATCTCAACCTGTGCGAGGCTGGCATTGTGGAGATTGCTCTGCCCAGGGTCTCCCCACAGAGGTGACAGTGGCAGCTGCATGAGGCCATCTAGGCAGTGGTCGTGGGTTCCCAGGCTGTGGGCATTTGCTTGAACCAGGTCCCAGAGTAATGGCAGCTCAAAGCTGGAAGGTTCCTAGTAGGGCATTGGACCTCAGAGCAGTTCTGCCAGCCCTGTGGCAGTGGTGGAGACTCAGGGGTGGGGTCTTGGGGTCCAGATGCAGTGCTGGAATCTCAGGGACAGTGTTCTGAGCCTGGCTGTAACTCTGGAGCCACAGGAGCAGAACCTCAGGCTCCGGCATGAGAGCCCCAGAGCCAGGACTGGAGAGGAGCCAGAAACAGGGCTTCTGAGCAGGGGCTCAAAGCTGGAAGCACGGCCCTCCAGGCAGCAGGCTGATCCAACCTGCAGGGCAGAGGCAGGGCCAAGCAGGCTGTTCTTCAGGCTTGGCCCAGGGACTGCAGAGTTCTACCCACTCCCCGAGGACTTGCTAAAGCAGTTGCCCAAAGCTTCCCAGGTCAAAGCCTGTAGCGCCCTTGTCAACCCCTGTGCTCAGATCCCCCTGTACTAGAGGGGAGGGCGCTTGGCTTCCAGTCACAGGGCATGGCTCAGAGGAGCTTCCACTTAGTCCACTCCCTCCCCAGCCCAGTGGCTACTGCTGCAAAGCTGAGTCCCATGCTGACCTGGCACCATACACCTGAGGGCACAGGATGGTGTTAGCTGCAGAAACCTGGGATTGCGTACTCACCAGATCCTTACTGGGCCTGTTGTCTGGTGCAACAACTCTGCACAGAGTCCTGTGGTGGTGGAGGAAGCCCTCTCACAACTTGGCCACAGTACCTGTGGAGTGAGCACAGTGCCCCAGCATTCTATCTTCCTAATCTTGCCCATGTATGGATGCTTTCCCACAGATACCTTCAATCTTATCAAATGTATTGCCCGGTCACCTTCTTCTTCACTCCGAATGTCCTATGCCGCTTCTCTGTGATTTCACAATGTTCCTTCTGAGAAGAGCTATCCCCAGGTAGGCATCTGCCTGTAATTTACATTATTTTCCTTGAAAGAGTCATGCTTATGGGCTGCTTCTAGTCCGCCATCTTCCTGTATACTTTTGAATCAATTTTTTTTTTTTATAAACCTAAAACCACTCGTTAAACTGGTATCTTTCCCTTTGAGTCCATGGGTGCCAAGCTTCTCTTGAGGTCTCCTTCAATGTTTGCTTCCAGCTGTGGTGTCCAGACCCCGTGCCAACTCCTGCAGGAAGCCATGGGGAAAATTTTGCCCAGGTGGAAAGGCATGCTCCTGAGACAATTTTAATGTCATTTGAATTGTCATTGTTACTTTGTTATGAGAAATTCCTCCACCAGTTACCACTCTGTCATGTTTGTTCAAGTTGTGTCCAGGCCACAACTCGCCATGCTTTGTGTATGCCAATACTTTACACCCACATGGGTTCATGAAGAAAGGACCTCATTTCATTTGAGGGAGAGTTATTCCCCTTGAAGTCAATGTGTTCTCGATTAATGGAATGGATGGATAAATGGAAGGAAAGGAAAGGAATGAGTTACTGGTAGCACAGGATAAAGATGTAGCCGTTTCTAAAAGAATAGTAACCAAAAAAATCTAATTAAGTCATGGTATCTTTATTTAAAAATTAGAGAAATGTGTATTACAAATTTTCAGTGAACTCATAGCTTAATTCACAATCAAATTAGTTTACCTAGAATGTTAATTAATAAATAAATTTTAATGTGAAAAGTTCTCTCTAGTAGAGTCCTTCATTTCCTTAATACTTACTCATTTCAATTCTACATGTTCTGTCAGTGACTAAACACAATGAAGAAATGCTTATCAGTTTTACAAACAACACTGCTGGAAAAGACAACAATTCTGGACAAAGAAATCACATTCAAAAAACTAAAATTTGAGGCCAATAGTTGCCAAATTTGAGTCATTCATTCTTCTAACACCTAATTATTGAGTACCTAATATGAACAACCTGGCATTGTTCTAGGCACAGATATGGAAACACACACACACACACACACACGATGTATTATATATAATAGCAATTGTCATGTATAATATTATATATATTGTCTGTGTGTGTGCATATAAAACAAAATGTGCCAGGAAGAATAAAAATTAAGGGTAGAACAATAGGTGAGAGGCTGCTATTTTGGATAAGGTGGTAAGAAAAGACCTTCGTGAGAAAGCACTAGAACAGAGAAATGAGTAAAGTAAAAAAGAAGGCCACATGCACATTCTGGGTGCTCCAGGAAGAGACTTATGTCCCAATAAACCCATCATAAGCTGAAAATATAAGTCAAAAAATGCATTTAATACACCTAACCTACCAAACATCGTAGCTGACCCTAGCCTACCTTAAACATGCTCAGAACACTTACATTAACCTACGGTTAGACAAAATCATCTAACACAAAGCCTATTTTGTGATAAACTATTGAATATCTCCTGTAATTTATTGAATATTGTACTGAAAGTAAAAAACAATTGTTTTCTGAGTGTTCCCCACTAACATACACACCACGTTTGTGCCATCATAAAGTTCAAAACTTTTAAACTATCATAAGTCAGAGACCATCTGTATTTTGGACTTTTTTTAAGGATAATAGGGAGCTGTTGGAATGGTTTCCAAGACATAATTAGATTTTCATTTTAAAGGATTTATTTTGGCTTTTGTGAGAAGATGGATTGTAAGACAGCAGTAGAAGAAACAGGAATACAACATAGGAGGCTATTGCACTAAGAGGGATGATGGTGGTTAAGACTAGAATGATGCTAGCTCAGAAAAGAGAAAAGAGAGTAGATTAAGGATATATTTTAACTTGTTGCTAGCCTTCAGTTAGGAAGTAGTAGAAAGGGAAAAACCAAGGATGAATCCATAGATTTTTAGCTTGAGCACTGGCTGAAATGAGATGCCTTTACTGAGGGAAAAAATTCTGGAAAGAGACAAGGGATCAAAAGTTTTAGGCCGGGCGCGGTGGCTCACGCCTGTAGTCCTAGCACTCTGGGAGGCCCAGGCGGGAGGATCATTTGAGCCCAGGAGTTCGAGACCAGCCTGAGCAAGAGCGAGACCCCGTCTCTACTAAAAATAGAAAGAAATAAGCTTGACAACTAAAAATATACAGAAAAAATTAGCCCGGAATGGTGG